AAAAATTAGCCGGGTGTGGGGACACACGCCTGTAATCACAGCTACTCAAAAGGCTGAGGCAGGAGAGTCGCTTGAACCCAGGAGGCAGAGGTTGCAGTGAGACGAGGTAGCACCACTGCACTCCAGCCTCAGTAACAGAGTGAGACTCTGTCTCAAAAATAATAATAATTAAGTAAATAGACCAGGCATGGTGGCTCACGCCTGTAATTTTAGCACTTTGGGAGGCTGAGGTGGGCAGATCACTTGAGGTCAGGAGTTCGAGACCAGCCTGGCCAACATGGTGAAACTTCATCTCTACTGAAAATACAAAAAAAACAAGCCAGACATGGTGGTGTATGCCTGTAATCCCAGCTACTCGGGAGGTTGAGGCACAAGAATCACTTGAACCCAGGAGGCAGAGGTTGTGGTGAGCCAACATGGTGGCACTACACTATAGCTTGGATGATAAAGCAAGACCATGCCTCAGAAAAAATATATATATAATAAATAAAATGAGGTGGCTGGACAAGTATGGTAGGTTGTTATTGGACAAGAAGACTTCAGAGACCAATGAAATTTCAGGGAAAAAAGAAATTGGGAACTGATATAGAGAAGTCTATCTCATCTTATCTTATTTTATTATTTATTTATGTATTTATTTTTGAGATGGAGTCTTGCTCTTGTTGCCCAGGCTGGAGTGCAATGGCACGATCTTGGCTCACTGCAACCTCCGCCTCCTGGGTTCAAGTGATTCTTCTGCCTCAGCCTCCTGAGTAGCTGGGATTACAGGCATGCACCACCATGCCTGGCCAATTTTTATATTTTTAGTAGAGACGGGGCTTCTCCATGTTGGTCAGGTTGCTCTCGAACTCTCAACCTCAGGTCATCTGCCTGCCTCGGCCTCCCAAAGTGCTGGGATTACAGGTATGAACCACCATGCCTGGCCATTTTATTTTATTCTATTCTATTTTATTTTTTGAGATGGAGTCTCACTCTATTACCCAGGCTGGAATGCAGTGGCACAATCTCAGCTCACTGCAACCTCCGCCTCCTGGGTTCAGGCAATTCTCCTGCCTCAGCCTCCTGAGTAGCTGGGATTACAGGCACGCACCACCATGCCCAGCTCTTTTTTTTTTTTTTTTTTTTTTTTTTGAGATGGACTCTCTCTGTGTCACCCAGGATGGAGTGCGATGGTGCAATCTTGGCTCACTGCAACCTCTGACTCCCGGGTTCAAGCAATTCTCCTCCCTCAGCCTCCCAAGTAACTGAGATTACAGGCACGCACCACCATGCCCAGCTAATTTTTTTTTTTGTATTTTAGTAGAGACGGGGTTTCACTGTGTTGCCCAGGCTAGTCTCTAACTCCTGACTTCAGGTGATCTGCTTGCCTCACCCTCTCAAAGTGCTGGGATTACAGGCATGAGCCACCAAACCCGGCCAACTGTGTCTGGTTTTATTTATTTTTATTTTTTTTGAGACAGAGTCTCACTTTGTCACTCAGTTGGAGTGCAGTGGCACAATCGCGGCTCACTGCTACCTCCACCTCCCAGGTTCAGGCAATTCTCCTGCCTCAGCCTCCTGAGTAACTGGGATTATAGGCATGAGTCACCACACCGGGCCAATTTTTTGTATTGTTTAGTAGAGACAGGGTTTCACCACATTGGCCAGGCTGGTCTCGAACTCCTGACCTCAGGTGAGACAAGAGTCTTGCTCTGTCACCTAGCCTGGAGTGCAGTGTCACAATCTTGGCTCACTGCCACTTCCGTCTCCCAGGTTCAAGTGATTCTCCCGTCTCAGCCCCTGGAGTAGCTGGGATTCCAGACATGTGCCACCATGTCTCACTAATTTTTGTATTTTTAGTAAAGGAGGGGTTTCACCATATTGGCCAGGCTAGTCTCACAGGCCTGACCTCAGGTGATCAGCCTGCCTCGGCCTCCCACAGTGTTGGGATTACAGGCGTGAGCCACCATTCCCAGCCTCTAGCTTATTCTTAAAGACAAAAATCCCTAATGTGGCTTCCTGGTTCTCAGGTGCCAGCTCATCTTTCTCTATTGACCTCATTGCTGGCCCTCCTGGCCACATGGCAGGCTTTGTACATGCCACTCTCCCTCTTTAGGACACTCTTCCCCAGGTGAACTCCTATTCATCCTTTTCATCTTGGGGACAGCAACTCTTTTTTGGAGAGGCCTTCTCCGACCACCTCCAGTTTAAATGAAGCTCCCCCAAACAGACACTGAGGTAACCTACTGTAGTAGGCTGAGAAATAGCCGCTATAGTTATCAGGTCCTAATTCCTGGAACCTTTCTTTGGATAAAGAGTAACATTTGTGGATGTGAGGAATGACTTTGGGATGGGGAGGTTATCCTGGGTTATCAGGGTGGGCCCTCAATGCAGCCACATGCATCCTTCTAAGCGGGAGGCAGAGGGAGATGTGACACACACAGAGGAGAAGACAATTTGAACACAAAGCTGAAAGATTTGAGGATGTGCTGGCTTTGAAGATTGCAGCGATGTGACTACAAACCAAGGAATGCCAGTAGCCACCAGAAGCTGAGGAGGCAAGGAGCCCATTCTCCCCTAGAGCCTCTGGAGAGAGGGAAGCTCTGCTAACACCCTAATTTTGGCCCAGTGGCCGGATGTGGTGGTTCATGCCTATAATCCCAGTGCTTTGGGAGGCTAAATTGGGCAGATTGCCTCAGGCCAGAAGTTCGAGACCAGCCTGGCCAACATGGTGAAACCCCATCTCTACTAATATACAAAAATTAGCTGGGCATGGTGGCAAGTGCCTATAATCCCAGCTACTTGGGAGGCTGAGGTGGGAGAACCACTTGAACCAGGGAGGCAGAGGTTACAGTGAGCCAAGATTGTGCCCTGCGCTCCGGCCTGGGCCACAGAGCAAGACTCCCTCTCAAAAAAGAAATTTTTTTTTTTTTTTTTTTTATCTCTGTTTATTATAGTATTTTTTTTTTTTTTTTTGCCCAGTGATAACTGATTTTGACTTTAGGACTCCAGAATTGTAAGAAAATAAATTTCTCTGACTGGGCTCAGTGGCTCACATCTGTCATCCCAGAGCTTTGGGAGGCCGAGGGAGGATGGCTTGAGGCTAAGGGTTGCAGACCAGCCTTGGCAACACAGGGAGACCCCATCTCTATAAAAAATTACAAAATTAGCCAGGTGTCACGGGACACAACTGTAGTTGCAGCTACTCTGGAGGTTGAGGTGAGGGGAATGATTGAGCCCAGGAGGTCAGGGCTGCAGTAGGTCGTGATGGTGCTATTGCACTCCAGCCTGGGAACAGAGTGAGACCTTGTCTTCTTTTTTTTTTTTTCCACAAAGATGGGGTTTCACAATGTTGGCCAGGCTGGTCTTGAACTCCTGACCTCAAGGGATCCACCCACCTTAGCTTCCCAAAGTGCTGTGATTACAGGTGTGAGCCATGACATCTGGTCTCAGCTAATTTTTGTCTTTTTTTCTACAGACAGGGTCTCATCATGTTGCCCAAGCTGGTTTCAAACTCCTGGGCTCAAGTGATTCACCTGCCTTGGCCTCCCAAAGTGCTAGGATTATAGGCGTGAGGCACTGTGCCCAGCCTCTCATACCATTTTAAAATGTAAGGCCTCATAATGTGTTATAATATTTGTAATGGTATGTTTATCTCTTTAAGGTCTGCTTCTTCTGCTAGGCTGAAATTTCTATGAGGACAGGGCCTGTGTCTGTTTTGTACACATCCTGGGGCCCAATACAGAGTAGGTGCTCAATAAGTATTTGTCGATGAATGAAAGAGTGAGTGAGTGAGTGAGTAAATGAACAAGGGCCTTCTCTCAGTGATGTCTCAAGCTCCTCTTAGGAAAAAGTTCACACTTGGCTCCCTTCTTTTCCCTAGCTTAGCTCTGAGCTCGAAGTGAGTATTTATGAAATCCTGATTAAGTGATAAGGAATATAAATAATTGAGAATATCTGTTTTTTCTCTCTTCTAGGCTCCGGTCTGCCCTGTGCCCTGGAAATAGGAGGTACTGAATAAAGATTTGTTAAGTGAATAGTGTAGAGTCTGGTCCTCCGACAAGGGACAAGGAGGTATGGGGATGGCATTTCAGCCTAGCACATGAGGCCCTGAGAATCCAATAAACACTGACTCCCCGACCAGCCCTCAGATTTTAAGAGCATGCAGAAGCCAGCTCTGAGCTCAACCAGGCTGTGCATGTTTCAAATTCCTGGGAGCCAAGGCTCAGAGAGAAAGAGGGACTTGCTTGAGGTCACCCAGGATGTTGGCAGAACCAGGATGAGGCTGCGCAGGTCCCAATTCCATCCTTTCCCCTGTTGAGTGTTCTCCCCAGCACCCCCTGCTGCCTTCCAGGTAAGAAGAGACAGGAAAAGGAGGCCTGGATGCCTAGAGATTTTCCACTTCTAGCAAGAACATTGTCAAGCAAGAGTTCAACCTACCCATTTCACAGATGCAGTAACTGAGGTGTTGTGAGGCTGCAGGCCTCGCCTCACAGAGAGTTTGTAAAGACTAGAAGCCCAGCCCAGGTGACCCCCGTGTGAAGCTTTTCCTATATTTATGTACTGTTTCTCTACTATTTCTTGACCAGCCTAGAGTGAATCTCACCTCCTCAAATGATATGGTATGAATGTTTGTCCCTGCCAAATCTCATATTGAAATATGATTTCCATTGCCGGAGGTGAGGCCTGGCAGAAAGCGATTGGATCATGGAGGCAGACTCCTCATGAATGGATTAGCACCATCCTCTTAGTTCATGTAAGATCTGGTTGTTTCAAAGAGCCTGGGACGTCCCCCTTCTCTCTCATGCTCCCACTCTTGCCCCATGATGCACCCGCTCCCCTTTGCCTTTCACCATGATTTAAGCTTTCTGAGGCCTCACCAGAAGGAGTTGCTGGCATTACGCTTCTTGTACAGTCTGCAGAATTGTAAGCCAATTAAAACTCGTTTTAAGGCCGGGCGCGGTGGCTCAAGCCTGTAATCCCAGCACTGTGGGAGGCCGAGGCGGGTGGATCACGAGGTCAAGAGATCGAGACCATCCTGGTCAACATGGTGAAACCCCGT